TCTCTTGATAAAGAAAATATTTTCCTTCAATCGGAGGAAAATGAGTTCATAAGAAAAATATTTTCCAAAACATTTAAGCCAACCAAACATGAAAAAATTAAAAAATATTTTTCTTCATACCAAACACACCCTTAGACTATCCACTTATAATACCGCCTCGCCCTAGTACGTGTCATGGTCAGAAAGGAGCCACCAATTGTGATGACCCAAAATGTCATCTTTAAATTTAATAATTAATTTAGTTTCGATTCGATGCGCGATTCGTAATTTCGGCGTTGTTTAGCATGATTTGAAGCCTCAACTAAGTTCATATTGTATTTTGGGACATGTTGGTATATTTGGTTAAGGTCCCGAGCGCCTCGGGTGGATTTCAGAAGGTTAACGGAATGGATTTCGGACAAAAAGGACTGCTGGAATATTTCTGCTGCAGAAGCTATTTTTGGACAGCAACCGGTGCAATCGCAGACCTGACTTTGGAAGCTTATATCTCGAAATCTATAAGGAATCTGAACATTATCAAAACATATAAGTTGTAGCCCTTTGATTATAGTTTCCAGAATGATAAACCATTTATCATTCAGACATTTATACAAAATGTTATGATCGATTAACTAAAACTGGTACTGCAGATTTTTGGCTACAGTAGTGTGCATCGCCAGAAATTTTTGCTGCACAAGGCTGACTTTGGGAGCTTATATATCGTAATCTATAAGGAGTTGGGCGATGAGAAAAACATGAAAGTTGTAGTACTTTGTATCTAGTTTGCAGAACCTTAAACCGTTTGGCAGTTAGAGTTGAGTACAAGAAGTTATGATTGATACACTACAGGCTGTCGAGGAAGAGTTTGATGTTTTCAACATAAGCATGTAATGATCCAAAAGTCCATTTTTAGTTCTAGAGATCGAAATTCGATTTCGAGACTTTCGACATTTTGATAATGAATTATAGGAGTGATCTGGAAAGTTTGGTCTAATTTCATCAAGTCGCGATTGAGTTTTAAGCGCGAAATATGAGTTAATTGTTTAACGAGCGAAATTGGTATCACATTGAGCAAATGAGCTCCGAATTGAGTTTCGATTGAACGAATGGGTTCGTAGTTTTATTTGTGACTCATAGGAACAAGAATCGTCGAATTCCGAGTTCGTATGATGGAGTTAGAGCCTTTTTAGTGAAATAAAACTGCTGGTGTAAATAGTCCTGGTGTGCACCTTTAGCGACCAGATGTGACACTTTTAGCGACGGGATTGGACTTTTAGCGACCGGAATAGTATTTTTAGGGCAGAAACTTAAGGACCAAAAATGGTCATTTCCTTCATTTCGTTTTGGAGCAGGGTTCTTGGGCGATTTTGAGGATTTCTTCAAGACTTCAACTTGGGTAATTGTCCTATATCCAAATGTGATTATATTTCATAAATCCATGGTCATATTCATCATTTATTTCGGATTTAAATAGAAGAAATCAAGATATTTGCAAATTCTTCCAAAAACAAAAATTTAAGATTTGGAGGTCGAGTTGTTATCGGATTTTGGTAAAATTGGTATGGGTGGACTCATAATTGAATGGGGTTGTCGGATTTTATAAGTTTCATCGGATTCCGAGATGTGGGCCCCACGGGTAAAATTTGAGCTGATTTTAGATTTTAAAGAAAATGTAATATTTTCTTATGAAATTGATTACTATAATTTTTGTTGACTGTATCGAATTAATTATGACTAGATACAAGTCGATCGAAGTCGGAAAATCGAGGAAAAAGCATAATACTTG